GACAAAATTGAAGGGCGAGGTGGGGGAGTGGGGTATCAGATTATGCATGATTGGAGTACGAACTTTCAGACAGAGATTGTTTTGGTGAAATCCCTTTTGGGTGAAGGAACTCTATCTCGCAGGGAACCATGTCCTCTAACTCAATCAAGGATTCCAGAGACTGATACATCACCATCTCAGTAGGAAGTTGATCTAAAAAGAAACATTAATTCTTACAATAAGTTAACGCATAAAGTTGTTTCCCTTTACTGTATTTAGTGGTTATTTCCCATTACAATAATCTATTTATATAAATAAGAAAAAAAATCAACTTTTTTTTTTTTTTTGGTGTCGTTGCCTATGTGTGTTTCTTTTATGTTAAACATTTTAAATTAATCTTTTTTAAACCCAATTTACTGCTATAAAGCAACTTTTAATAAGTGCAATGGTTAACATATCTTTGTTTCATTATTTCTGTAATCTTACAGTGTATAATTATTGAATCCCAACAGAAGTTAATTTCTCTCGTGGGTCAAGAGTTAAAAATGTAACGACCCGAATTTCGTTGTTAACAGTCGCAATCAAGTTTTCAAGTTTCGTATGTTTTCTTACCTACCCCACTCTTTTTCGATCACAATCAAATTTACCAAGGTTCATCAATATTTATTTTTTAATGTTCAAGTTCCCAGGGTGGATCATGAATTCCCCAGATCTAGGGAATTTTTCCAATGCCTACTCATTGCTTAGATCAGGGTTCCCCAATAGTGATCCGCGGACATTACATTGCCGGTCCTCAAGAAAGCCGAGAAAATGTCAAATGTTTTCTTGTTTCTGACACCGGTCCCTGGTGCGACAGGACACTGCTCCACCGGTCAGCCAGAATTAAACGTTTGGGAAACAGTGGCCTAGCTGGCCCTGGCACTACCTCAGCACTATTGCTGGCCCTGACACTACCTCAGCACTATTGGTGGCAACGTTACCGTAGTACGTTCTCGTAGAGTGCTGTAAATATACTCAGCTACTGGCTCCGCCCGTTCTCCCCACCACCACAATGACAATTTAAATATTATTGTGTGGGTTGTCTTTGGCTGCTCGGATTGGCTCGTCAATACAGTAGGTCAAAGATAACGTCATAAGTCATAACGTGTCACGAAGTTGGACACCAGCAGGTCACCTGATAATGCAAACATGTTAGGCAGTGTAGTTAAAAGCTTGTATTTTCATGGACGTAGGACTGTTACAAGGGTAGGAAATGTAGACAAATGTATTGTTTTTTCTTATATTGTTCTAAATTGGTATACTGATTCTGATTTAGATTTATGTCCCAAATAGCCCAACATTGACAATGTCAAAAAAATAGACTGGCAGTTATTTATTTATGCGCCTACCTTTATGCATTTAATGATTTTACTTACAAGTAGTAAACACCTATTTAAGCCGATGTAGCCTATTATTAAATTACGTGCAAAAATTGTGTTTTATTGTTACATTTCGTGATGTGGTGCAACTTGTGTTTTTGTGCACCTAGGGCCTAGGGGGTTTTGTACAACTAGGGTCAGTGGCTAGGAAAGGGGGGTGCGGGGGGCCAATCCGCCCCTGGTTGCACTTTTTATTAATACCTTGAGGCTTGAAGGTGGCATTTTCAGTCAACTGCTGTCTTTTCTTGTAAAAGAAAAAAAGGGGGGGGGGATAATTTCGACCGGCCGGGGCGGCCCCAATCTCAGCTATACGGCTTTCTCATTTCCCTGGGTTTTGCATATCCTGGTACAAATCATATTAAGTCACTCTCATCCCAGGATGCCGGGAAATCCCGGGATAAAATTAATTTCAGTGAAACCTTTATCATAAACAGAATTAAACAGTAAAAGAGATGGTTCGTGTAATAATTGCTTAATTGTTTTGTCGATTAATAAATGGTTTTTATCCCGGGAAAAAAAAAGATATAAAGTCACTCTTTTCCCAGGATATCGGGAAGTCCCGGGATAATTTAATTGAAATGAAAAATATATCATAAACTTTAAAGAGTTTTTTTTTTTATAATTGCTCATTTTTTTAATTTTTTTTGGTCGGTTAACGAGTGGTTTCTTGGGAGGTTTTTCATTTACAGCTCGTTGCATCACGTACCACTGCCTGGCCCTAACAATGGATGACTAGCTGATGATATCTTTGTTCAGCGAAAGTCGGTTATGACCACCTGTAGAAAAAAAAAAATTACTCTTCAGACCAGTTTGACATTCTTCACAGGTTGCACATTCTAGTTTCGGATCCGTTACGAATAATTTACAAACAATGTTTCAATCAGCGTGTGACGGGGGAGGGGGGGGTCCGTTTCGAATATAAAAGACAACAATTATAAATATTAATTTAATATATGTATCTTTTGAAGTTTATGTCGTACTGATTGGCGTATGAGTTAGGCTTATGGTTTCCAACAAAGAAATATATCATTTACGGACAAAGATATTATATCTCCACAATTATATGGACAAAGATGTTATATTATTATTATTATTATTAGGTGATTTCATATAGCACAGTACCACAGCCTAGGGCTAGGCTCACTGCAGTACCTCAGCCTAGGATTAGGCTCACTGCAGTACATCAGCCTAGGGCTAGGCTCACTGCAGTACCTCAGCCTATAGAACTAGGCTCACTGCGCTTCACATAAAAATTAGCAATTACAGAAACGTGTACATTTAAGAACAATTGGTGAAAAGCTTGACCTCACCCACCCAAGTACTACTATCTACCCTTGACTAGCCATGGACAGCACCCAGCAGCATCGAGCGTTGGTTACCAGTCAGGGGGTGGGAATGAGTTGGTATAGTACAGTTTGAAGAGATGGGTCTTGAGGGCAGTTTTTGTAGGCTCTGATGGTCGTATATTGCGGATGTGTAATGGGAGAGAATTACATTTTTTTTTTTTGGGGGGGGGGGGCACAGAAAGAGAAAGATCGTTCACCATATGCTTTAGTGCGTGTTTTAGCGTCAGGAGCATAGCCGCTTTGTGGACTTACATTTTTGTTTAGGCGTTGATATCGCTCCTGGTCAATAAATTTTTTTCAAATGTTTTTTTTTTTTTTGGGGGGGGGGGGCACAGAAAGAGAAAGATCGTTCACCATATGCTTTAGTGCGTGTTCTAGCGTCAGGAGCATAGCCGCTTTGTAGACTTACATTTTTGTTTAGGCGTTGATATCGCTCCTGATCAATACATTTTTTCCAAATGTTGCGCTGGCTCTTGTAATTCGAAAGTTCACCTCGTCATAGATGATTGCGATTTTGACAGTAGGCTTTCAATGTAAGAAAGCGGGTTAACCACCAAGCCTTTCGCCATTGACTTGCATGTTGGGCTAATTTTAAGGTTTTCAAGGTGCGGGTTGGTGCAAAACCATTTTTTTCTTCATTTTTATGGTAATATCAAAGTTTGTGCAGGCATCTGAGAAGTTTTCAACAAAGCTTTTCATATCGGCCTCGGATTAAGCGTTCACCGCAAAGTCGTCGGCTGACAGAAAGTCCGTAATGATGTCTGTCCGAAACCTTGGACTAACCGTTTAGTCTCCTGAGAATAAAAACTTGACCATCTGTTGGGCATCTGAAACCAATCCCCAATGTCTCCCTTTCGCAACGCATAAGACAGTCGGGCGGAGAACTTTGGTTTGACAAGTGTTGGTGCCATGACACAACCTTGTGTGACACCATGAGACAGCATGGGAATGTTTTAGACTTCTTTCCAATTTCACGAGCCCTAGCCTGCATATCTCTTATATTACGATTCTGGTGTGACAGCTTCCGTTTCCGGCTGCTTCCTATTCAGCGTATTTAGTACTGAGATTATTGTCGTAGCTTTTGCTATAAGCTTTGTAATTCTTGACGTATATTTGGGTATGGGAAATGGTGTTGTTAATGTTATGTTTTAGCAGAAGCAGCAGTGATGGCGTAGTTAGTAAGGAGGTGTTAGTAATGGAGCTCTTTACTACATGAATTGTTTAAAGTAATTTAAAAAATGAATTATATTACATATAACTCTCTATGTTTGAAAGAAAGTAGGGCTCAATAGTGAGTTCATTAGAGCGCAAAATATAATTCCAGATAAATACGCTAAATTATTATTATTATTATTTTAATAACGCAACTGCGTTTGGTGCGTAATATTTTCTTTTCAGAAAATAATATCGTTTCAATTCAACTATAGTGTAATAACTATTCGGTTAAAAAAGTGGTTGGGACATCAGAATATTAATATAGTTCATGGGCGTGAAATAAAAAGTGTGCAGTGACGTATCGTGGAGGGAAGGGGTGTAGCAAAAATTGGGATTCTTAAATGTCCCTTACTTGAGTTCATGTTTTGTCAAGTAACTTTAGTAGATCGGAAGTTCACACATTGCTGTCACCAATGTTTGGCCAGCTGTAACTAGTTGTAAATATTTTCATGAAATTGTTGCATCACTGAAATGAGCTTTCTTTGTCATACATCTTTTGGCTGTTTGTATGTGTCGTACAATACAATTATATTAAAAATCGATTATTATGTTTTTATTTACCATTTACCCTATTTAAAAGCCTTTTTTCCTATATATATATATATTTTTTTTATATATATATATATATATATATATATATATATATATATATATATATATATATATAATATAATACTTGTATAATTTCTTTGTGTACTGATGAAGGCATTGTATTATGTGTATCATGTATCCATTATTACACCTAAAGCTTAACCTATATTGTTGTTTTTTTTACACAAATTATTTTAGTCTCATCTAAATTTAATTTCAATTGTATATTTCACTTTCACACCCCAACAAAGGAAGCATTAAATGCATCCAATAATTCCATACTGTTCCAATGTGTGACAGTGATGTGAGGCTATTTAAAGAAGACTTAACAAGAGAGAGCAGTGACCATTCATACGGACACTGTTGTGGAATCGAGTAAATGAGCATTGACATTGGGTGGCTAAGAAACCTGGCCAGTTGATGTTATGGCTGCAGCATTGATTTCTAGTCATTTGTTTACATGGATACCATTGTCTGTAATGTAACTTCACTTCCAAATTTTTCAGAAGTCATATACCCTAATGATAAGGTTACCATTGTTTTCAAATCCAGGACATGTTAAATTTTTTCACACTATACCAGGACATTAAAATTGTTTTGCGCGGTGGGTCGTCCGAAACAATTAGTTGTAATTACGCGGAGAGCTCTTCATTGAACTTCATTCAGTGACTCCGTATTTTAAAACACAATATATCTTATCGTGGTGCCCATTTGGATTAATTATATTTGTGTAATTGTGTCACCTATTTATGCCTGTATATTAGATGTAGTCGATCTTGCCATTAATTAAAAAAAAAAATTTTTTAAATAAAATTTTGTTGTGGTGTCAGCTCCCGAAAAAGCAGGATTAAACGTTTTTAAAAAACTAATTAAACCGAACTGTCCTGGTAAAAACAGTACAAATGTTTACCTGACCTACTGACGACATGATGTGATTTACATTTTGATTTCGGCATATCATTTCTTAGGGGAGCTTATAAATTAAAAAGAAAAGAAAAACACGTCTACTTTGCACCTTTTATTATTAGTGGTACTTTTAGGAGATGGCATCTTTTTGTTGATTTGATGTATTGTTTAACTGTTACTTTTTTCCCCTTAGGCACCAAGCTTTTATTTTATATCTCGTTAGCTGCTTAGCACGCTTTCTCCACAACCCAAATAAATCCTTTTTAAAAAAATAAAAAGACAACATCAACAAACAAAACAGTTTTGGTGGTGGGATACAACTAATTTATCATCTTGTAAATGTAAGTTTGCATCACAAATAGTTTAAACATTTATATTTCAGACAATGTCAAACTCAAGTAAATCAACAGTTGTGCCCCTTGCGGCAGAAGGCTTTGGTTCTGGTGGGAAAAATTACGATGCCAATCGTCCAGGATATTCAGAGGAGACAGTGGATCTAATAGCTTCTACAATCAAAACATTGTCGTCTGAAATAAGCACCCACACTCTGAAATACGATGTGTTGGAGCTAGGAGCAGGGACTGGGAAGTTAACTGAACTACTAATTAAGAAGCTGCCACAGAAGATCAGATATTTCGCCACGGAGCCATCAGAAAACTTTCTCGAAGTTTTAACAGAGAAAAAGTTGAACGTTGATGTGGGAGTTTCAGCAGCAGATGATATCCCGCTCCCAGACGCTTCAGTGGGAAGCGTCGTCTGTGCTCAGTGTTTTCATTGGTTCGCGGAAGAAAAAGATATTGCGAGCATCCGACGTGTCCTTGTTCCTGGTGGTAGGCTCATCCTCGTTTGGAATGTTAAAGATTTCAGCAGAGACTGGATGCAAGCGTTTTACGACCAGAGGCTGGAGGTCTTGAAGAGAGTCGGAGAATCCCCTAAATACTGGGTGAACTCGGAGGAGTGGCGAAGGAATATTGACATCTGCTCCTCGTTCAAATTATCCGATCAACACTCATTGCCGGGGATCAACTTCGGAGGAGGTCTTGAGAAGGTCTTGTCCAACCTCACCACTGTGTCAGCTTACAATATGCTGGGTGCCGAAGAACGCGACGCCTACGTTGATCAGCTGAGGAAGCTTCTTACAGAATGGCCTGGGCTGGACCTGGAAAGCATGGAGATACCATTCACAACAGAGCTGTATGTATACAAGGCTCTGTAAATTCTCTAATATATTTTTACTGTGTCATCAATCCCTTTCAAGGTCCTGAACCTCAGACCAGACGCCCATGAAATAGTTATCACTCTGGGTAAAACTGGCGCAACAGTAAGTTTGTCCGTCATTTATCCAGTGCTAATTATTATTTAATATTAATCAGTGTTGCATGATTTTAAAATAGCTTTTAAAAAACATGTTTAAAAGATGGAAACTTTTCAGGGAAGGCAAATGAGCGAAACAAATAATGGGAAAACCTTGCCAAAAAAAATGACTTAACAAAACAATGAATGTGTTGGCAAGAAGCCTTCTTCAGTGGAAAAACATCAGTACAAACAAAATGATATTAAAATAGCACTTAGCTGTATGTATACGAGGCCCAGTAAATTAGTGAGGAGAGCAAGCGGAGTGTACACTAAATACCACAACATAACTACTGTAATAATTAAATATTATTAATGGATTATTTTATTTTCCATTTGGAGACTATTATAATTAATCTTAATTTTTGTTGAAATTTATAATGCAACATGATTAAGGCTCATTGGGATGAATATGATGTTCCTGGTTATGGTTATGTAAATGTATGTGTGTCATACTGTGAATAACCTGCTAAATTCCGATGTATACCCCATTTTTATTTAATAATTATTATAATTATTGTCTTAAAATGAATAAACTGTAAAATCCAGAGTTGTATTACATGTTTATTGAAGGATTTTCATACTTTGGATGGCCTGCTAAACATCCATGGATGACTAACATATGAAGAGTCCAATTGCAAACCCTGCTAAGTCACTTTAGATTGATTTTGAGAAAAACACATGGGTTGACAATTTTAATTGGGTTACATTGGCGTAACAATAACAACAATGTATTTAAGGTGGGGACGCCATCTTGCATAAAGTAATAAAATTTTAAAATATAAACATTATCAGCAGAGGGATCCTTTAAATCTGGAGTTCTTTTCTTTTTGTAAGTTTTAATGGGGACATGTTAGCGTTTTCGCCGATTGTACTAAAACTAGTGTCGTGTTCAGCAATCTTGAATAGTTTCGAAAGAAAGTCATGTGCCGGCAAGCTAAATTGTGATTGGCTCTTTTTCACAAATTTTGTTTAAAACAACTACTGCCATTGGCTGGTAACTTAGTAGGGTTTGAAAGTGAATGCTAATGCACCTTAGCAGGTTTTGCAAGTCTATCCTATTTTTGGCTGCATCTATAGGTACCCGGCTACCTATAATTGCCAATGACTATTCGCACCCGGAGTGGCTCCATACAGATTTAATAGCTTCGGAGCCGGGTGTGATAACAATAATAGTATGAGAATTATTTTTTTTTTAATTGTTTTTTTCTCCTTGTTATTTCATAGATTCATAGTTTTATTCTTTTTATTTTTTTTTTTATTTTTGCTTTATTAATTTCTCGTAGGACGGGTAGATTTTTTTTCTTTCTTATTTTATTTTTTATTTTAAGCGATTTTTGTAGATAATTTTTTTTAAAAATCTAGTAATGAAGATGATTTAGATACATTGATTGTTTTCATTTGAATTTTAGAAAAGTAATAATATTAATTTAATTATTAAAATTAAATCCTTTATTTAATATTATTTATGTGTATTGTTTAAGTTAAAAGATTTAATCACACAGTACTTTATGAATTAATTAGGTATTCTAAATAATGAAAATTTCATTCATAATGAATTAATTTCAACTATTCCTCTAGAGAGCTTGGCTTAATCAGAACAGAACCACCAATTTTAAACTTTTTCCTTGGCACAAAAATCTGCCCAAGAAATATAATAAAAATGGTTATTTACACAATTTTGTAAAAATAATTTTCAGCACATTAAAAACATTTACATATTTATAAAAGTAGTTGAAATCTTTCGGAACCAATCATTGCGAATTTGCAGTGAAAATAAATTTACAAGAACAAGTCAAGCATGACGATTATCTCAGCAAGGCCTTTTCAAACCCAGTTGTTGGGTTCAGCTGTCTATGTTCTATATACCGGTATTCACTTTTCTGCTTGTTAACTTGTCCGTTGGTTCACTAGTCCTGTGTTTGGATGTGTTATGGTGAGTTGTGGGTTTACTTGTCATGCGTTCATTTGCGCGGCCCCCGCAGTGGACACAAACCATATAGTTTATGCAGCAATAACGATCAGAAATCTGCTTAAAGTAAACCTATACACGGGTAAGCCGCGGCGACTGCGTTGCTGCCCACAGCCTTACTAAACAGAAACATGGCAAGGCCGTGGAGGCAACGTCGCTCTAGCTATGCCGACGTATTACTTTAGTGTATCAGAGAATGACTTTGGTAATCAGCAGACCAGACCAGGGAAAAGGCGCATGGGCAAAAAAAGGTGTGAAGCGAGAGACTCGGCTACGTAATAGAATTCCACCAACAACAGAGACTGAGAGAGCGACCAATTTCCAAGCGTTGGGTGATGTGTAACGTGTCCTCATAATGAGCAGATCTGGGAAACGTTTCGAACGGACCAGTTGTTATGTTGCGATATGTTAACTAGAAAGTTGTGCCACCCACTACCACTGAGTTTTTAAAAAAAACAACAACAAAAAAAACTCTTCAGCTCGCCGAAAATGCAGCCCTCAATATTATTTTTTTTGAAAGTGGCACATGTGTCGACCAACCCCTCCACAGCCCCCTTCCTATGCAAATGGATTGACTTTTTCTCGACAATCGTGAGTCATAATAGGCAAATAAGCTATTTAAATGGTCTATGGTTGGTCAGCTCTAGTTTGATAGATGGCACTTAATTATTTAGTAGATACCACCTAAGTTGACTCTGGTTGGTGGTGAGTAAAATGAGAGGTAGTGTTAGTGATTTTATGTATCTTGATGGAACCAAGTTGCTTTGTTAGTCATCTGTTTGCAATGGTGTTTATTTCGCTACTGACATATATTTCATTACTTTCCAGCTTTTTGCCTCTTAGTCTTAGTAAATCACCAAATCACCAGCTATTTATTGAGAAAGAAATCGAAATTGTCACAAATTATCAAATTTTAAGAAAGGAAATTGACTATTTTATTTAAAGTTTTAACAAATATTTGCTACATAACCCCCACACTCAAAATTCTAGCCGCGTTACGTACGTAATGGATGCACAACCGTGCAAAGGAAAGGCAGCGCCCTGGGCGAATGCGCCCCCTGATATTGAGGTCCCTTGCGAGTACCACCTTTACATTGCTGTGCATGGATTCAGTGGGCTAGAAAGAAATATCAGACAAAGTAGATAGATCTATAAAAATTTTTAAAAGATTATTTAAATCTAAATATATCCAATTGGGCAACTTTTATAACGTATCTTTGAAGACAGAAGAGTTCTCCTTGTTTTCCCACAATGGCGTCGTAAATGACAAAAGATTCATGAACTGTAGGCTACTTTTTTTTATGTTGTTCAATTTTGTTAAATGGTTATTGTACATGAACAAAAAGACGGTAATGATTGTCATATTGTTGCTTTGGGCGTCACAATGAACTACCTAGATGCGTCAACAGTAATATTTAGTCTAGTTGCCCTCGCAATAACTTCACTCGACCATCCGACCATCCCCTTTTTATTTTTTATTTTTCTGCTACCAGGCGTGTGAGATGTTGTTTTGTTACATAATTATTTTGTTCGCTAGAACCGCAGCAATTGTGAAAACGGAGAAAACTAGAGATGGTTTTTAAAATAAAATACATTATCCAAATGTTCTGCACCGGGAAGTTGGATTTGGACATATTTGTTAATATCTAGTTAGTCACATTTGAAATATATTTTTAGAACCCACAAAACAGCTTTATCCCTTGAACAATATATCCCCTCAACGACTAGCTGTAATTATTGAGTGTCAAAAAGATTGCAAAATCAAAGCCTGTAAGTCATTTAAATGTAAAGAAGCACTGAGTAAAAGTACATCCTTGACATCTTTTTGTTAAGGCAGTGTCGTCCGGCGCGCCGGACGTCTATCTCCCGCACTATGTGTCCGGCGACCAAGTCACATGACCGCCGTAACAAAGTGGCGAGAGATATCGTGTCGGTCAGCCTTGTCACGTGACTGCGAATAATTCAAAACTATTGTTAATTTTAAAATCTATTTCTCTACCAAGTAATGTACTGAGTATCTTGAATGCAAATAATAGAAAAAGAAACTTAAGTGAAAGTGGCTTGTAAACATTTTTGTTTAGTTTGTTATTTTTTGTGTACCAGTAATCCATAAAATAAATTAGGGGCCAGTGTGGCAACCAATAAAAGTTAAAGATTTCATTTTAAATTATTTCAATTGCTACAAAATATTTAAAAACTTCTCATGAAACTACTGTTGCTGAGGAACATGATAATATAAATATATACAAAATATTTTAATTAAAATGGGAAGAAAAAAAACGACCCTATCCCCGGTATAGATCCTCAAACATTCCTATCGTCAGGCAACCACTCTACCACAAGACCAGACAAGATGTACTGAATCGTACTTCGTTTGGAATTATAAAAACTACTAGCCGTCCGGCCATGTCAGGCGGTCACGTGACAAGTCGCCGGACGTGTATCTTGCGCGCCGGACGTGTAGACACTTCGTTTTGTTAAATATTAGGTTTCAAAATAAAATAAAATAAAAAGAGCAAATTTCTGAGTGCAGCTTTAAAGATGATTTGTGCCATAGGAATAATTATTTTATTGTCACACCAGATATTTTCATTAATATCTTTATTATTTTCTTTTATTCATATCAGATATAAAATGTGGCAGAGATATAGCAACAGCTATTGTTTTTAGAAATGTCTGCAATGACTGTGAAGAATTTAGCCATTAGGATGCTGAGATTGCCATTCAGTATTGCTACTGATGGTAGTAAAGACTCGGACTAAAAGCAGTACTCTCCAGTGGTCACCATTGAAGGGTAGGGTGGCCTTGTAAATTCTCATCTCCTAGCTTTGCCGCTGTACAAAGCGTCCTTGGCCACAGGACAGAATATATTTAAGATAATGGCAGATGAATTGAATTCACAAGGCATTTCATGGGTAAATTGCATTGCATTTGGCTGTGACAAAGCCAATGTGATGACTGGCCAATACAATGGAGTATACAGTTTTACTAAAGGAAAGCAAGACATTTATCTGGCATGACTGCCTCCATCTGGTGGATTTTGCAAACTAAAAAGAGGCTTCATGTCTCCCCCAAGTTGAGGAGGTCCTGGTTGACGTTTGTTACTTCTTCAAGACAAGTGTGAAGAGACATAATGAATTTAACAACCTGCAAGTTCTGTATGGTGCAGAACAGATGAAAAGTATCAAGCATGTCTGCACCAGATGGCTTAGTATTGCAAGATGCCTAAAAAGATTGTTTGAAAACTGGGACCACTTTATGCACTTTTTTTATGAAGAAAAATATACAAATTCCAAACCAAATAAGAAACCACATGATGGGCAGACAACTGCTGTGTTGGAAGGACATTGCACAACTTACTCTGTGAAGCAGTTTGATGCCATTTATGACTTTTTGTGGTCACTAACAAATCAACTTAACTGCTATTTCTTGTCTTACACACTGAAAGTTTATGATCAGGTGAGACGAATTTTTATATTTCATGAGTCTTGAATGCTGCATAATTTTACTCACATTTCATTGGACAAGCAATATTTTCGTACGATTAATTTTATTTTGTGCAAAGTTGTCTGTGGTGGATATTAGTAATTTTGTATTATTTATCTTACCATACTGTTTTACTTAATAGTATTTTAATGAGTCATGGTTATTTTTACAGGTACTTGTCCAACTGCAGGCAGAAGAAGTCATGATAATCATGCTGAATGAGATCCCTGCAGCCTAATTGGTGACTTGTACAGCAGATTTCTCTTGCCAACAGAAGTTAATGAATGGTGTTGACCGGGTGAGCTTATGTTAACTCTTAAATGTTCTTGGTTTTCTGCCATTTTTTTCTCTCTCATTTGGTACCTTTACAATCTGGCTGTTTGTTCAGTGAATAAAATAGCAGTAATAACATGTTATATATCATTGGATTCAGAATTAAATGATCTATTATTTGATACCATTTATGAAATCGCAGTTAATTTGTTTTTTTATTTATGGCCAAAAGTTTTTAGTTGTGCTAAATTTTCACAAAAATGTTAACATACCACAAACAGGTAGAAGTAAAAACATACGTGTTACGTCCTAAGTTCAAATGTTTATTATATTCATCAATGGCATCCATTTTTACAACATATACAAATTTCAAGCAATTTTACCATTATTTGTATTAATTATGCCACTTTTAAAAATACTTCTTTTTTTTTTTTAAATAGTGCATTTTTAAAAATAATTTTAAAAAGTTAAAGAAAACCAGGTAAGTACTTCATGAGAGAAATACAATTACTATTAGCAAATAATATAAAGCAAGGTGAATAATTTTTACATATTTTTATAAAAATATATGGTGTAACCCATGTTTATAACATATCGGTATGAAATATGAAAACTGTTTTCCAGAAACTCATTTATATAACAATGGCAGGACAAAATGTTCTCTCTATTTTATAAACATAATAAAGATGTTCACATTATATTATATATTGACTGTAAATAACCATTGCAGTTTTAGCATGGCATTGCTATTTTATAATCATTCATAGTGCTGCGGCAGAAACATGTGCATTGTCAAAAAAAGTTTGTCACTGCCTGATTAA